CCGTACGACGTACGTCTCTCTCTCTCTCTCTCTCTCTCTCTCTCTCTCTCTCTCTCTCTCTCTCTCTCTCTCTCTTTCTCATTCTCTCTTCTCTCCCTCGCATACAATTGCAACGGCGCCGCCGGGTGAATTCGAAATTCAAAATAAAAAATTCAAGTCGCGTCGATTACTATCGGCGCACGGGAATCGCGGCTTGCAAAAATGATCTCGGGTTGCGCTTCCAACTTTTACGAGGTAATTTATACACTATATACCACACGCTACTGTACACTGCGCCTGGTATAATTGCGCCCGGTGTACGTGTACTCAGCATCACAAATGTTTTCCTAAGTAGAAATTTCTAAAACTATGTTTATGTAAATGCAATGCTTCTAGCCATTGGCAAATAAATATTTGCATTACTATTAATTACTTTTAATTTAAGTAAGCGAGAAGATTATCTCATAATCGAATGCAAAATTCAACAGCTGATGTAGTCACATGGTGAATAAAAGATAACCATAATATATTGAATATTATTTCATATTGTGTTAATTATTACAATATGTGTATAATACCGGTTTATTTAATAAGATAATTAATAAATACATTTATTATAATATATATGTATATATGAATATATATATATATATTAAACAACTTTATTGTAATACTATTAAAAGGTTAAATCATTTAAACTTGTCACAAAAGAATTAAAATCAACGTAACGCAACGTAAAATAAATTCACATATTTATAAATTTCTTCTTGATTAAAAAAAATGTAAACTTATAATTTTGTAGTAAAAGTTTCTATCAAATTTTTTAAAATGTCTATTTTCAGATAAAATATTGTTGATATAGAAAAATAAATGGTTTCTCATAAAAATCCAGGTAACCAGGATTTTTTTATATTAATTGTAGTATAAAATTATTGAGCTAAATTTATAAATATTATTTTTAAATATGTGTGAAAACAATGCACCTATTCTGAAAGCATCTATAAAAGAAAGGTGAAGGCTTTTGTGACGTTAAATATAGGTTGTACGCACATACGCACGACGAGCCCTCGCAATATCGATTTTGACGTATCCCCGGTCAGGCCAATTTCATTTACGGATGTGTGTTCGTGCGCACGGCGGTTTTCCACGATACCGCGGAATATGATTATGCACGAGCGGACGTTACCGAAAACAATATCGGCGCACGGCGCGCAATCCGATTTCAGTAACAATATTCGTAAACGAATGCCTACGGCGCGGGTGACGCGACCCGGCGACCGTAAACCCGACGACTGGCATTCATCGGTAATTATATACACAAGCGGTAATTAAATGGAACGCTAAACGCGCGCCGGATTTGCTCGCGGCGCTACATGCAAATTCGCAACGTACGAAATTAAAAAAAAAAAAAAAACCGAACTTGCCGAGTCGAGTATTATCAAAGTATCGAACACACCGTCATGATAACGCCTAGAATCGCGCGCGCCCGAACGCGCAAACTGCATAACTGAGCAACGGCGATCCGATAGATTTTGTACAAGCGAGCTTTGATTGATGATAAAAGGGTTTATTGACTTGCGCCGAGCGCAGATGCAATGCGGTGTTTTTTTTGTCTGAATACAGAGTTTGATTGATAGTGCGTGCGCATTTCGTCGCTGATACTAGCCCGTCGTGATAAAAGACTTTACAAACGAACAGTAAAATTGCGTGAAATTGTAAACAAAATCTTTTCACATTTTTATGGTAATTTATAGGTTACAAAAAGAAACTGTCGGAGATTTCGATAAATTATATTAAATATTATATTAAATACAATTGCTATTTAAGAGTTACTGATATTACTCGATACTGATATTACAAAATTCATTTTAAATTACCAAATTTCTCTTCAATTAGAATTCATTCATCGAAAATATACGAAACGCATTAAAGCAAATTAAACATTCCCCGCGCAAGATTATAGCATTCAATAACGTCATCCATATAAAATTGCTCGGATTTAACCCGTCCGTTCGTTACACGCGCGTCATTAAAAGTACTGCAAAAACATTTACGCTTTGCAATACGTAAGCAAATATTCAAACAGGACACACGTCCTGTTGGGCGGGTTTTCGTCCATCGTATAATTAAAGCCAACATTTACACTTCCCCGTGAAAGCGCTGTCAAATTTAAAATTTGAACAGTCAGAAATTCGAGCAATGTCTCTGAATATAACGATCCCCCAGCTTTATACAAAATAAATTTATATAACACAATTCATAAAACTTTTTTGGTGCTCACCGTCCGCAGAAGTTCGAGGTTAGGTTAGTACATACGGAAGTTTCAAGCTTCCACGTCGTTTGATATATTGAACAATGCATCGATTCTGTTGATTTATCTCTCTCTCTCTCTCGATGCAGCACTCATAACAGTGATTAATAATCTCTTTCGGTTTTGTTCAAAACTATCAAAGGTGACTGCGAAACATCCGCGGTTAGAAGGTGACTGCGAAAATTGGCGGCCACAGAAAGCGTTGATTCGTCGGCTAACTTGCACGAAGTTGCGCGCGACGCAGCGCGGCGTTTGAGAGATCGACGCGCGCCGACCGCGTCGCGTCGTAGACGGCAGACTCGCACGAGCCACTGTGCCAGCCGGACAGTTTATACGCCGCGTTCATTCGCACACTCGTACGAAGCTGACGTCCGCGTCGCGTCTGCATCGGGTCGCGCGTGATTGCAGCGTGCACTGCGGCGTCAATTTGTCGTCATCTTCCGTGGTGTTGTTACTCGTCGATCTTCGCGTCGTCCCCCGCCACCGTGTCGTTTACTTGTAATTTGATATTGTGAGTGTGTTGCTCGCTCCTGTTGCTCTGTTGTTGCTCCGGCGGTGACGTTCGCGCGATCCTGCGTGAAGAGACGGAAGGAAAGAAGGACATTGCAATTCGACAGCTCGACTACCATGCAACCGCCGTTACGCTTATAAGGTACGACTGCACTCTGGAAAGTAAGCCATTTTTATTTCAGAAAATCAAGCATCTCGGCTAAATTCATTATAGTCGACGTTCCTATAACTCTTTCGAAGGTCTTCATAACCTCGTAACCTCTTTCGTAATCTGTTGAAAAAAAACAAAATTTTATCGCATCGAAAATAAACGAGCGTTATATCTCACAATGCAATGCTGCATTGCTGATATATCACAATACAGTACAGTGTTTCAATCGTCAACGGCAGTTTTATTCTAGAACGGTATTTCGGTCTACTTCGTTTTACAATATGCATCGAATTTATTCTGTTGCGACGCATTTAGCAGCGCGAGTGACCTGTGTATGTCGCCGCAGATGTTTCAATGATAGAAATACGATGCGGATTTATTCCTGATCCGAACACCGCGTAGATTGACCACATTTCGCGTTCCGCGTGAAATTTCTCTGCGTGAGTTTCTCGCGAAATGTATTTATACATCACATCGGCGTCCGCTCGAAAATGCACTTTGGAACAGCTCGCGCGGCGTACGCGATGCGCATATTTCACGGCATGGACGTTTGAAAGCACGAAATAAATCGTGCGAACGCGAGGATCCATTTCCACGAATATACGAATAGTACACAGTCGCGATTATGGCTATGCGGTTACACAAACATAAACAGTCACTGCAGAGGTGACCTTTCGCCGCGACGCTTCCTGAATCGTCGGCAACCGCATGACGCGTCGCTTCTTTCTGTTATCGAAAAATATTGCGTTTGTGTTTTCGAAGCTGGATGTAGTGCGCTCTAAAATAACGAGCGACGAGAAAAAGGAAAAATCGGAAGACCGATAGAAACGATAACGAATCGCTGTGTACCGTTCTCCAATTTGTCCCTTGTCCTGCAAGTCGTGCGTTAACATCGACGTTGGAGGGTATTATTTCGACTACATATGAGCGAGCATTACGATCAAAATATGAAATAAAATATAGCAACAAAGTGTGATAAACAAAAGAATAAATATCTGAATTCGATCTACAGTAGGGATTTTGGTGCAGCAAACAGGTGAAACATTCAACTCTGCATATTTTATTTTTAATTATTAATAGTTTTTTTTAAATTTATTTTTCTCCATCTCTGCTTTCTACTAAATTTGCTTTCCTTTTGATGATTTATAATTCACGATAGATTTCGAAATAATTCTATTCGCAATTTTATATGTGCATTATAAAAAATATTTAATGAAGCAGAATTCATATGCAAAATACCATCAGTAATATGTATGTGTATATGATTTTATATATGATGTTAAAATTCTATCTCAAATGCTGTCGAAATTTACAGATCGGCCAAAATGACTTAATACGACTCGTTAATTTGATTTTAACAACATTTACTTTCTGAATAACAGGTTCTTATCTTAATAAGTGTCGGTAATATTATGCAGTGTCTTTTATCTGTCACATTTTCTTCTCGTATTTCTTGCGACTTGTATTTCATTTACGGTTATGTATGGTGCATCAAATCACTGATTAATTCAGCGACGAGACAACGCGATTACGAAGAATCGTAAAATTCCTACGGTTTGCATAATGTTTTATCGAAGCACACGATGCGACTCGCTAGCCAATGTGAATAATTTTAAACTGAAAAAAATGCTATGCTGAAATAAGTGATATAAACATGATAGGTATCTACGATTTTATTATTTATTGCAAAACCAATTATTATTTAAAAATATACATATTTATGATAAGAATATTTGTTTACTATTTAGATATCTTTTGTTTCTTATAATCTGGCATTGCGAATAACATTGTCTGTTTCTTTTATTAGATATATATTTTTGTTTTCTACACTTTTCATTCCAAACATTGTTATTCTCATTCTGTTTAACTTTCGCCATCGTCAGCGTGCTGAAATCGCGCCACGAGATCGTAAAATGGGAATCGATTCTGAGGACAACTCGCGCGACGACTCTGATCGGCATGAGCAAGAAGTTGATTGACTGGCGGCGGTCGCTCCTTTTGTTGTCGCGTTCAGATCACGTTTGACCGGATTTCTGAAGGACTGCTCGCTAATGTCGTGCCTGGCCGCCAGACCGATAGCTGCGTCTTATCTCTAGCCCCCGCACGTTATTTGCATTATCCAATTTCGGTCCTATCGCTGACGTCACTCTCAAAACTGAAGTGTAACGTAAGCCATTAGATTGAATGCGACTGTATTTTACTGCGACGCTTCAATATTTCAATCGGAACGAAAGTTCGGGGAATAGCGATTTATTATTAGAGTTAAACTTTCCTGCTTTTCTACATAGGATTGCGATGGGCGGCAAGTAAGCGTTTCACGTGAATAAATTTGCTTTCGTTGGAAATTGTACACGAAAGCGACGATGACGTCAATAAAACGCTATTCATTACTGACATAAGTGGAAATATCTTTCTTTCTTTCTCTCCTCGCATTCCTGTATTTTTCTCTGTTCTGCGTTAGCGGAGGCGAAAAATAACGTGGTGTTAACGTGAACTGCGATAAATTACACTTCGGAAAATCACCAACTGTACCACTGTAATTTTGGTTGGCGTTCAGTTGAAAGGTTGTGCAAACGCACGTATCAATGCACGCGCGTATACGCCTGAAAATTCATTCGTCGTCGATTCGCGATGTTTTCAGCATCACGAGTGACATTCCGCTTTACGTTACGCCGTATGACAAATAATAATGATAATCGCAGTCGCGCTCTACTAATCGCGCGGACATGTAATCAGCATTTGAGCCGTGTTTTACGCCGGAAAACGCAGCGAGCATGATACAGCGGTTCGCGTCGGGTTTACATCACGTGTAATCGTTATTAATAAATTACCAGTAATACAAAATTTTTGCATCTGTTTGAAACTCGAAAAAATATGGAAACTAGTGATCGTATCACAACGTCCGTGCATTTCTACCTATCGTTCGATGATACAATCGCCACCTATTTCTATATTCTATACAATTTTTACATTTCCTAATTTCTATATTCGTCGGACGTAGAGAAGCAGGATCGAAATCAGTTTTTACGTTGATTATAAAAATTATTCTGATAATTTATCTTAACTTATAACGTAAAACAGAACTTTTATAGCCATTTATCTTAACTTATAACATAGAACAGAACTTTTATAAGCAAATGCCGATTTTAATTTATCATGCATTATCAAAACTTGTGGTTTTACATTAATTTATATTCATCAATATTCAAGATCGAGCAATATTTGAATAATTTGTTTTTTTTTCTGTTCCAGGTAAGTGTCACTAAAGTTGGATTAAGCGTCTAAGTCTTAAGCGAAAAATTCATACTGATAGGCAAATTGGAAAACGTAAGTGCATATATATATGTATATGATCGCTGTCGTTCAATTCTTAGAACGGTGGATTTCCGATACGAAAAAGTGATCGCGACGCCTCCGCAAATCCCAGCTCGATCTCTCGCGCGAGGATTTCTGTACTCCGTCATTTTCTTTTCTTCACCCGGTGCCCTGCATTATTCTTTGGGCTTTGATGCGAATGAATTTTTCGCCCCTGGTGAGCGGTTTGGGGAGGGGAATAGTTGAGGAAGAATCCACCGTAAATCCATCTCTTTCGCGGGAAACTTAGTTCCGGAGCGTCGAGCTGGAAGCCAGTTTAAGCCGTACGAAGGTACAAAGTGAGGAAGAAAGCCGGGCCCGTTTTGCTTCTCGCTCGCATACACAGAGTGTCTCGGAAAATGCGACAAGTAGTTATAGCAATGCATTGTTTTGGAATATAAATTCAAAATTTTGTTGGACAAAAATTTCACAGCTGTTCTTGTTACTTAATATTATGAGATATGTGGTTGCACCAGCCAGCAGTAACGAGAATAACAATTTATTGATAGTATAAATAATTCAATTTACTTACAATCCCACTATAGATCTGTTCACACTCTTATTCGCTCTACGCAAACACCCTCATCACTTTTACTGTACTCTCTTTCGTCTCACAAGGCTGAAAACATTGTTTACTCGCTCTCGTAAATGCTCGTCTTTATATTCCGTATGCACACATTCTCGTTGTTTTTCGGGAATTTCAATTATTCTTTTGATACACACTGGCATTCGCTCAAACAGTCATACCGCACGATGTATTAAACGTGCGTCAAACATTTCAACATTCTCTCTCACTCTCGTTTATTTTCTACTCTTTCATACATTTGTTTTATAATTCTACAATATTTTAAAGTAAAAATTGTCAAAAAATTAAGTTTTTTCAATACTATTAATAACAATATTTGTTAGAGTTTAATTGAATCAAAATTGCATCGTAGTTCATTACTGAAATCTATCGAAAAAGCGTTAAAAAATGTATTATTAGAAATAAATAGACTAAACTTTCGAAATTGTTTTTATGTTTGTTAAAACATACATTTTTAATGTTTATTTTCGCATTTTCCGGATTACCCGATAGATAGAAGTATCGAGCGTTACTGTGGAGCAAAACAAACCGCAATGTTGTATCTGACTGTCATTCTCTAAACATGGGTAAAGCCGCGTAATCGCCGTGAATCTTTGCTTTGGAAAAGGAGCTTAATTAATTAATTAATTCTGACGGCACAATTGTCGGGTGTGCGGTTTTGAATGGCTCGAGTAACCCGTCCGCGTTCTCCCTTAGTCATCTCGATTTCTCTTTGTACCATTCGTGTAACATTTCCACATGTTACATTGTGCAAAAGTCTGGAATTATGACTGCTTCCGTAATGAAGAAAGTTGATTAAAAAATAAATTTTGACGTAACGAGCAAATTGACAGTTAATTTCACGCTTTGCGCAGCGTTTCGCGAATTATTCTTTTAAATGACCGCTTTCGAGACACGGGATGCAGCATGGCGGTTTGATCCGTGTAAGTATATAGCGCTCCGGTGTGCGTCATCGCGGCTCAGTACGACCAGTGCATCGAGCCGTGAGCCTGTGTGCACGCGGGCGCATCCGATTGTCGGGGAGCAGTGTGCATGCGAGAAACGATGTGCTCCGGTGCCAATGTGCACACA